GGACATAAGGTATGATCATTTGTGTTCTCTAAAGAGAAATTTTGATCAAAAGAGGTGAAATGTGGAAATAAAAGGAAAAATGAATTGACACAGCCTCTTCTAAATATTTGTTCTGGCTCAGGAATGTGTACATGCAAAGGCAGCTATGTCAGATAAGTGTTACAACTGCCCATAAATAGGCATGTTTTAACTGTAACCCCTGAAATCTTGAAAAACATCTTGAAATGTTTTTTCTATTTCAAGGACCTTAAGAAAACATGTTGTAGATAGACAGGTAGATGATGATGATGGTGTCAGAAGAAAAGAGAAAAGTGCGCCAAGATGGCTGCAGTTTGGACATACGGGTAATAAAACCATAGCCTATTAACTAAGGCTGACCCCTTGTGTATGTGTAACTGGAGTTTGTTAAATATTTTAGTAACAGGTACTGGTTGTAAACTTCTGTGTCGAATATAGAACAAGGACAGGATGGAATCAATCATCCTTCCGCCAGACCCTGAGATGCCTACACAATTATTAACCTCTCCTATCCACTCAGCCACATTTACCTTACGTGTAACATCACTGAATACCAGTCAAATTGACAGAAATGTAATTGCTGCTTCACTGTACTGCAGGTATCCCCCTGTTTAAAATAATGTATGAATACCGTGCCTCATATACTCTACATTGAAACATAGGTTATAAGCTATTGGAACTTGTGCTTCCTGGGTGCACATCCTCAAGCTTGGCCTAATAAACTTTGTTTGACTGAGATTCAGATTCCTATCTTGGTCTCTCATTTGGGTTGACATACCTACTAAGAGACTGGCATCCTAGATGCTGAATTTATAAAGATGATAAAGACAAGTGAATTCCTAACCCAGTTTTATTTATTTTATTTTTCACTTTTTTTGAGATGGAGTCTTGCTCTGTTGCCCAGGCTGGAGTGCAGTGGTGCGATTTCAGCTCACTGCAACCTCTGCCTCTCGGATTCAAGCAATTCTCCTGTCTCAGCCTCCCAGTTAGCTGGGACTACAGGTGCATGCCACCATGCCTGGCTAATTTTTTTTTTTTTTTGTATTGTGAGTAGAGACAGGGTTTCACCGTGTTAGCCAGGTTGGTCTCGATCTTCTGACCTCGTGTTCTGCCCACCTTGGCTTCCCAATACTGGGACTATAGGTGTAGCACCTGGCCCTTCTTATTTTTAAATATCTAAAAAACAGGCTTACTGAGAACATTCACATACCATAAAATTCACTCACTTATATACCATAATATTCACTCTTATAATGTGTACGATTCAGTGGCTTTTAGTATACTCAGAGTTTTGCAACAATACCACTATTTGATTTTAGAAGACAAATGACAGTTCATAATTAGTATTTTAAGTTTTTCCTGATTTTTGGCTTCATTTCAAAGCTTGCTTTTACTCTTCTTTCCCCCAAACACATGCTTAAGGGTGAGATTGTATGGGGTCTGTTCTCAGCTGTAACTGTTAATCTATTAGAAAGCAGATAGATTACCTTTCTTCTTTAAAACATAGTGCCGGGTGATATGATGCGTATGAGAATAGAGGTAAAAATCACATACAGTTTCATAGCTGTTGGTGTTATTTGAACAAATAAGATAGATTTTACTGGAGAAATCATTTAATATTGCACAAATGTGATAGGAAAGCAGTATTCTAAAGAACCACTGGGTTGCTTGAAAAAACAAATCTCCAGTTTAAAATCAAGTTATGCCACGCCCACTCACTACTTTATCAAATATATAATGTAACTTGGTTTCACAGGCCATTTTGTGTCCTTGGTTTTCCTCCAGAGATTAAGTAGTGTTTTTGTTGTTTTTTTAAAACATTAATGGGTTTGTAGATTTTTGAAAATACTTTCAGTTGAGATCAGGACTCTCCAAACCTAAAAATGGTTAAACACCAACCACTGCTTAAGTTGGATGCTGTAAACAAAACCCAAAATGAAACCCCTGTGTATCTGCTGCAGATTCTCAGGTGCCTCTTAAGTGTGGGGATAAGCTCAGAAAAGGCTTAATAGGTTTATTAAGTTGTCATCCATTAAAAGGTTCACATGCTCCTTGTGTGTTGCATAAGGACAGGTGTCTGCCACCTTATTGCATTTCTCACTGAGCATTGCCTAGGAAGAGGGTAAGCCCTAGAATTTAAATCCTTCTCAGGTGTTCAGGCAGAAGAATTTTGTCAGGAGAAAAGTAAGGTCATGGAGCTATATAAAAATGGATTATGCATCTTAAGACATCGGCCTATTCTCCCCTATGTTTAAGAATAATATTCTTCAGATGATGAATGGAATATCTTGCCAGGGGCTGGTGGGTAAGTTTTGTGGAGGTCCTCACCAGCAGAAAAAAATCTTTGGCTGATTAAAAAGAAAGCCTCAGTATTTACCTCTAACTCTAACATCCTTAACAGCTTGCCAGTGTGGTAACTGGCACAAACTATGGGGTCTTGGTCAAATCCAACCTCAGTGAAGGTAGTTCACATCGTAGAGATGAGCTGAATGCTGATAGCTTTGGGGACTTGTTCATATGGGGAAAGGGAAAGAGATTGTGAGGGTGGAGATAGGAATCTGTCATAATTGGATTTGGTCTGTGTATTAATGGAATGAACTGGCCTTTTTTGCTCTGCTTCTTTTGTCCTTGCTGAGAAGAGACGCTGAAGTTTCCAAGGGCTATGGGTGAAGCTGGAGGGTATTAGAGGAACTGCTCCCTGACCTTCTTGATGGTAATGCAAGCTGTTGGGGGAGTTTGGAGAAGACTGCAGGGCGGTATGCGGATGAGGGCTGTATTACATTTTGCCTTGAAACAGGAATATACAAATTAAAGCAATAACTGCTCTTCTGCTTTTTTGTTTCTGCAATCTTCTGTCATTTGATATTGTTTTTTCCAGAGCAACATGTGACTATTTTCTTCATGATTTTCTTTTCAGTTATCATATGGGTTTGTTGTTGGATTGAGAAAAAAATATCTGCCTCATTTGAACAGGCCTCTCTAGACCTTTTCTTACTACTGTAGAGGGTACTTCCTCATTTTTCTTCCTCTCAAAGCCATCAAATTCCCAAGCATTCAACTAAAATAATTATCAACTAAAAACAAACAAACAAAAAAAAACAATTCTTAGAGGTAACTGTTTAGACTTAATTATTGAAAAGTATCAAGGTTTTCTTCCTTGCCCCATCTCATTCTTTTGCCTGCCTCTCTCACCAGCAAGAACATTGAAGAGGAACGCTTTATTAACAATAGCCTGTTTGAAGGGAAGTTTCAGTTTTTAGCTAATTATTTGCTAATAAAAGTTTTAAAAAATATTTTTCTTTAAAAGTTCTAAACCCTCTATTATATTTCAAAATCCCTCGGTATCCAAAAATACACATAAAAAGCCTGGATATTTGGTTAGTTCGGAATCATTTTCATTAATACTGCCTGTAGTATACTAACCAGAATTGGAAAGGAATGAGATCAGACAAGATAATCCAAAGACAAATACAACCATATGCCACACAAGGACGTTTCGGTTAACCACAGACTACATAAATGATGGTGGTCCCCAAAGATTATGCCATATTTTTTGTACCTTTTCTATATTTAGATGCACAGATTCTTACCATTATATTACAGTTGCCTATGGCATTCAGTACAGTCACATGCTGTATAAGTTTGTTGCCTAGGAACAGTAGGCTATCCCATATAGCCCAGGGATATTGTAGGCTGTTGCCATCTAGGTTTGTGTGAAGACACTCTGATGTTTGCACAAGGATGCCCAGTGATGCATTTCTCAGAATATGTCCCCACTGTTGGCAACACATGACTGTACTGAAGCTTTAGATTTACTTATCTCAGTTTATTTCTAAAACAACTGATAATTTTCTGTGGTTAATGCCTAAAACTATGGGCACTAAATACATTTTCTTTTTATTGTTGCTTTATGTGATAATGTTGTGATAATTTGTAGTTAGAGCCTCAGACAGACACACATCTTCTGGACTTGTCCATTAGAGTTTAGTTTCCATATTCATTGCCTTTTCATCACCTCTCTTAGTCCAGATTTTCTGGTGAAGCTGGCCCTTGATTTGGATATACCAAATTACTTTTCCTAAGGTACAGATTTACTGCCAGCTACATACTTGCATCAGCCCCAGAGTTGTTTTCTTCCTTCCTTCCTTGATGTTGAGATGTTTTTTTTCTTTGAACAGAAGAACTACAATTTATTTCACTCTACATCTCTGGGACATTTGCCTCCCACTGTGACTACTCTCAGGCATGAAGCCTTGTAGAACAGGTCCAGAAACCTCTAAGACCTAAGGGGCAGATCAGCGATCAGGCAACATGAGCTCATTCTTTGTCTTCATGATTTATGGAATTATTATTATTAAATTCTAACCTTGGATTTTTGTAAATTTTACATCTTCCTTTCAGCAGTTTCAATTCAGGGCCAAACTTGGCTGCTTAGAACTTCCCACTTATCACAGAAGAAATCCCCTCTGAATTCCCGTTAGGCAGAGTGGTATGGCTGATGCATAGTGAGCTGGTTGTGTGCTTAGTATCAAATAGCGGTCATGGTAAATGCTCAAAACTTCCCCAGAGGAGAATCACATTAATGCAAAGGTGCAAAATAAAAAGGTGTGTCTTAAATTTTAGGATGCATCCTTGATTGTGTATGACTTCATTATTTTACAGGATTGTTTGTGGCATTTCATACTTAAAAACCTGATTTAAAAAATGCTCCTCCTCTTCCCCATTTTTAGAGTGAGTTTGTTAGGAGAGTCAGGAGGTGGTAGAGTCCTCCTTAAATAACTAAGCCTTTCTTTTTTGTTTTATACACTTGCCATGCTAGTGCCAAGAATGGAGGTAGATCCAGGAGGTCTTCCCCTGAGCTGCCTGTCTGGCTTGGTCATATAACACCATGTGACTTGGGGGTGGGGTGGAGCACAGAGAACTCTTTAATGGTTCCTTGTTACAGCCCTCAACAAAGATGTGTCATTCCCTTGGCTTTACAGACTGTTGCCCAGAAGAAAAGATGTTTGGTTTTCACAAGCCAAAGATGTACCGAAGTATAGAGGGCTGCTGTATTTGCAGAGCTAAGTCCTCCAGTTCTCGATTCACTGACAGTAAACGCTATGAAAAGGACTTCCAGAGCTGTTTTGGGTAAGATCACCTGATGTTTGTACTATTCTTAGAGTGAAAAAATACCACACACAGCCTACGGAAATATTTGTAAGCAAGGTGATTGGAACAATTTGCTATTAATTAAAATCATTTATTCTAATCTAGGCTATTTAAGTCTCCTGCTATATAAATGAATCAGACAATACCAACAGTCTACTTTTTTCCAGATTATGAGGAGCTACCACGTTAATTGTGAAGCCCCTTACAGTTGTAGCTAGACAAACCCTTTTGTTGTTGTCTTCCTTTTGTGGTTAATTTTTAAAAATGCTTTTAAAGAAATTACCCTTGACTAGGTGCAGTGGCTCATGCCAGTAATCCCAGCACTTAGGGAGACTGAGGCAGACGGATCACCTGAGCTCAGGAGCTGGAGACCAGCCTGGGCAACATGGCAAAACCCATCTCTACAAAAAATACAAACAAACAAACAAAAAACTTGCTGGACGTGATAGTTTGTGCCTGTAATCCTAGCTACTCTGGAGGCTGAAGTGAGAAGATCTACCTGAGCCTGCGAGGTTGAGGAAATGAAAATATTAAAATAAAAATAAAATTTAAAAAGGCATGGTTGGCACAGACCTTTTTGACAACCTTCATAATAGTTACAAAGTCCAGGATTAACAATAAATGATCAACAAATGTTTGATAAGAAAAAGTGATGAAAGTAATTTCTAACATGGGAAATTATTCATTCTTTTTTTTCTTTTTTAAGTTTTTTGTTAATAGAGACAGGGTTTCACCATGTTGGTCAGGCTGCTCTTGAACTCCCAACCTCAGGTGATCTGACTGCCTCAGCCTCCCCAAGTGCTGGGATTAGAGGCGTGAGCCACCATGTCCGGCCTTTTTTTTTCTTTTTTAAAGAGACAGTCATCCTGTGTTGTGTAGGCTGGGGTGCAGTAGCTATTCACAGGTGTGATCATTTTGCATGACGGCCTTGAACTTTTGGACTCAAATGATCCTTTTGTCTGAGCCTCCCGAGTAGCTGAGACTATGGGTGTGCACCACCTTACCCAGTCATACGGTCGTTTGTTCATTTGTTTGAGACAGAAACTCACTCTGTCACCCAGGCTGAAGTGCAGTGTCACTATCATGGCTCACTGAAGCCTTGACCTCACTTGCCTCAGGTGATCCTGCTACCTCAACCTCCTGAGGAACTGGGACTACAGACATGGACTACCATTCCCTGCTAATTTTTCTATTTTTTTGTAGAGACAGGATTTTGCCATGTTGCCCAGGCTGATCTCATCCTCCCGGCTGCCTCAGCCTCCCAAAGCACTGGGATTACAGGCATAAGCCACCTCATCTGGCCATATTCATTTTTTAAAACTATAATGCCTCTCTGGTTTTGTTTGCTGTGAAACTGGAATATTATGGCACATTATTTTACTTGTCAAGGGGTAGTATTTTGATACTTTTGAAATATCTACTCAGGCTGGGTGCGGTGGCTTGCACCTGTAATCCCAGCACTTTGGGAAGCCAAGGTGGACAGATCGGTTGAGCCAGGAGTTGAAGACCAGCCTTGGGCAGCATGGCAAAACCCTGTCTCCACAAAAAATAGAAAAATTAGCCAGGTATGGTGGTATGTGCCTGTGGTCCCAGCTACTAGGGAGGCTGAGGTGGGAGGATCACTTGAGCCTGGGAGGTTGAGGCTGCAGTGATCCATAATCCCACCCGTACTCCAGCCTGGGCAACAGAATGAGATTTTGTTCACCCCCACACCCCCACCTAAAAAGAAATGTATTTACACATTTCAAGAAAGATTAATTAAACAGCATCGTTTAAAAGCATGATAATCAGAATCTCTTCTAGGTCTTGAGTTTTACTCTTTAATTTTAAAAGCAGTTTTTAAATTAAAAGTAAAAAAAAAATTTTAAAGTAGAGATGGGGTCTCCTTGTGTTGCCCAGGATGGTCTTGAACTCCTTCGCTCAAGCGATCTTCCCGCCTTGGTCTTCAGTTGTGCTGAGATTACAGGCATGAGCCACCGCACCAGCCTATTTAACTTATTTTTTTTTTGAGATGGAGTCTTTCTCTTGTTGTCTGGGCTGGAGTGCAGTGGTGTGATGATCTTAGCTCACTGCGATCTCTGCTTCCTGGGTTCAAGCGATTCCCCTGCCTAAGCCTCTCAAGTAGCTGGAATTACAGGCATGAGCCACCATCTAATTTTTGTAGTTTTAGTAGAGATAGGGTTTCATCATGTTGGCCAGGCTGGTCTCGAACTCCTGACCTCAAGTAGCCACCCTCCTCAGCCTCTAAAGTGCTGGGATTACAGGTGTGAGCCACCGCACCTATCCTGACCTATTTAATTTTAAAAGCATTTCTCATTTCAAAATAACCACATTGCAGTACATGGAATAGGTTTGTTGGATCTAGAAGTTAACTTTATTTCTGAAATATACTATAGAAACAAATATACTATAGAATATACTATAGAAATATTCTATAGAAAACTATAGAAACAGAATCATCCAGGATGATTAAACTGTATCTGTAAACCATATATAGATACAATTTTTTTTTCCCAAAAGAAATGTGCTTTTATGAATTCTTTTTTTTTTTTTTTACTTGATACATACAACTATTTATTGAATCTCTGCTATATAGTAGATATTATTTCTGGTGCAAGAGACGTATTAATGAACAAAAAAGGGAAAAAATCTTTTTTGGTGCTTACATAGTCTTCTTCCTAGATTTCTGAAAATTTCCCCTACTGATTTTCTTGAGTTACTCCCCTTCCTGCAAACATTTTTTTTTAAATTGCATTTTAGGAAGGCATGAATTCTTTAAGGTAAGGGAGACTGATAAAGATTTGATTGTTTTCTTATCAGATTGCATGAGACTCGTTCAGGAGACATCTGCAATGCCTGTGTCCTGCTTGTGAAAAGATGGAAGAAGTTGCCAGCAGGATCAAAAAAAAACTGGAATCATGTTAGTCCATCTTTCTTTTTTCTCATTTATATCTATTATATTTAAAGTAACATTAATTTCCCCTAATTTAGGAAATAATATATCCCTAGGGTAGAAAAGTCTGGAAAGTTTAAAGAAAAATACTAGCTGCTGCTCAGATATAATTGCCTAACATTTTGACATCTTTAGAACAGAATAGCCTGTTGTGGCATTTCCTTAAGGCTGTATCCAATACCCCCCTTTTGGAGATTCACAGTAAGCATGCACATATTTTTAGGCTTAACCCAGTAATTCCCAGAGTTAATTAGATATGAGTCCTTTTTCTTAAATCTCTTTGTATAACATGATCCTTTGAACTCAGGTTGGTACTAATGAGCACATAGGTTTTAGAATCAGACTTGGATTTGAATTTTGCCTTTATACTAGTTGTGTACTTTGAGCAGTTCACATTTATTTATGAAGTGCAAAGATAATAGCTATCTTACAGAGCAATTGTGAGAACTGAATGAGATATATAGAAAGTATAACACATAGTTATTCACACTATCCTTACATTGTCCTTTGATGATAGCGTTGTTGTTATAACAGTGAAGATGATAACAACCTTCCTTTTTCATGGGGTAGAGATCTGCATATAATAAATGTAAATGAATACCTAAGAAACAGCATCATATGGGCTGAAAGCAATGGCTGGGCTAGACTGTGGGAGAACATGCTATTGCCGTCATGTAACTCACCTCAGAGATTAAAGTGTATAGTGAAAAAACAAAGAATAGACCTGAAGATCTTGGTTCTAGTTTTTTTCCCCTTTCTACCACCTTACCCATTTACTCGCTTGGTGAAATAAGGCAAAATGCATAATTTATCTTTGCCTTGTTTTCCTTCAGTCTAAAATTGGAGTAACAAAAATAGCCCCTTTACTGCTTTGTACTGAAGATAAAAAATATAGGAAAGCTTTTTGTAAACTGCAAAACATTATCCTGTAGAAATGGAATTGTTTTTAGGCTTGATTCTTAACCTGGTTGGGTCATCCATTAATGATTATCCCATATACAAATCTATTTAAATTTTTTTCCAACAGACTCCCGCTATTGCCCACTTTACAGGAAGAATACTTTTAAAAACTTCACTAGATAAGTAATATTTATTCGTTTATTTCATATGATGATTAAAGATGCACATGGAGCCTCATCCTCTTTAGTATAAAACTTTGGTTCTCAAATAGGCATGGATCTGAACCAAAGGGGGATACCCTGGTATCCTTTTAAAAATATTATTAAATATTCAGTATTTTCTTCCAGGTGGTAGATGCAAGGGCTGGACCCAGTCTAAAGACTACATTGAAACCAAAGAAAGTGAAAACTCTATCTGGGAACAGGATAAAAAGCAACCAGATCAGTAAACTGCAGAAGGAATTTAAACGTCATAGTAAGTTTGATATTCGAACATTAGTACTTAATAATTTTTTTTGGTTGGGATGGTGTGTGGCATGTGTGGATCATTTTTTCCTTTATTGCTTTTTATAAAGAGCACTGGAAGGCAATGTTGACTCGGTGGAGATGTTATCTTATTTCTATAAAATCTTGGCACTCTTTATGATTTGATATCTTAAGAGTATTTCCACTAGCTAACCACTTGAGATTGTACTGAGACCACTCTGATGTCTTTATTTACATCTTAATTTTCTAGAAGATGCATTTCTAGCTGGTTTACTTGATTTTTATCTATAAGGAAATTGAGTCCTAGAGATGTGCAAGAAGGTATGTAAATAATTAGAGGACAACCCGAGACCAAAGTCCAGGTTTTCTGGAAAATAACTTTAGAAATCATAACTCACATATTGAAATAAAGCTAGCCTCAGGGTTTGCTTTCAGGTTTAAGGAGCAGAGTGTGTTGTGTGATAAAATGAGAAGAGAATGTCTAATTAGTGTCAGGTCACATGCTATTATTGGAAGTTTTTTTTTGGGGGGGTTGCCATAGTGGCACATCTGTATTTTGGAATTGAGATTTTGGATTTTGAAAAGGAAATACACTGCATATAATGTTATTATATATTAATATCTCTATCACCCTTGGGAGGGTTTGAAGGAGCATTATTGAACCAAACACATTAGTATTTTTACAGCAAAAAGTAGCAGTATTCACATTTAGTGGAATAAGTACATGGTATATAGACTGTCCAGGTTTGTCTTCTTAATAATCATAGTTTAGGTCATGCCACATTTTGTGGCCAGATAGCTTAGGAATACACTTTCTGTTTTCAGAGCTTTCTCAGAATTGTGGCTAGGGATTGTAGACCTGCATTGAAGCTCTCAGTACTTTTAAAAACTGTATATAGGACCCTGTTAGAGAAAACATTATCAATTAAGACAAATGGTTATCATGCTTGTTTAAGAATAGTGGAAAAAGACATCTAAGTTTAGTGACGGTAAAGTGAGGAGTGCAGGAGAGCTTACATATCTTTTGAACATTTTGGTATACTAAGCACTTTACATATGTAATGATCTCTGTTACATCCATGTGAGAGCTTGGAATAGGAAGCACAAAGGGGTGATTTAACCTTGATATGGGTCACATGGGTCACTTAATAAGTGGTAGATATGTAGTAAAATATTTAGGTAAAAATGTAAGTGTGTGTCTCTTTGTATTTTAGTTATACCAGCTCTCAAGCCCTCATTGTCCCTAAAGTTTAACTCTACCTTCCATTATTCTCATTAGATGTATGTTTCCTTCCTCCCTCCCTCCCTCCCTTCCTTCCTCCCTTCCTCCCTTCCTTCCTCCCTCCCTCCCTCCCTTCCTTCCTTCTTTCCTCTCTTTCTT